GCTCTCCGAAACAGCCCTTCTAGGCACTAAGCACAGCATACTCCAAACTGTAGGAAGGAATCGAGTGACTCGTCCCCCGACCACCAACAGTAGCAACTGAGTTGGCATCCTAAATTAAGTACGCACCCTCAGACTAACATGGAATCTCCCAGAAGGTCTCCTGGGGGAGGGTATCTATTTCTTGTAAAGGTACGAGGGACTGTGAATCGCTGCTGCTTGGCCTTCCAACTTTCGAGTCATTTCTGCTCCCTCATCTTTCAGTACATATCCATATCTGCCATGGTCCAATTTTGCTGTTTTGCCCTCTATTGGTATAGGCAAGTTGGAGAGTCGCGAGATTTGGTGGAAATCTATAGTCCCCGGTCCCTCCCAAATGAAGCATAGACTGACTAAATGCTTTGACCGAACCTTGCAACGTGCACGTTGGGCAAAGGGCAAACGTTTATCCTAGTTTCCCTCCAGTCGTCCTCAGAATTATGTCTAGGGCGGCGAGCCTCGACATCATCCGAATGTGACTGTGAGGAACCACCTCGATGCACACAAACAGAGTCAATCATGCCAGCCAACCACATGTGAAAAACATAATGCGAATCCGGGCAAATAGAATCACCAACAAAAGCACAGAATATCCAAACAACAAAAAACAATTGTAGTCCATTTGGGGTCAGTGGCAAAAGCCTACGTGCTTCTGGGGCTGCCTGCCGCAGTATCTCATTGCAATCATTGCAGTGGACTTCCAATCGCGCATAATTGTCTTTGTCGAGACTCAGCCCAAATAACGAGAGGAGCCTTGCAAAACCAGGCAGCGCAGCTTGGAGCCCGGCGCTGCCTAATGTTCTCCACACGCCTGAGCCGAGCTTTCCACACTGACCTCTGCTGGGCCTTGTGTGCTGTGAAAGGTTTGTGAACACCGGAGTTCCCGAAGAAACACCAGTGCGGCGTATAAAGGGTCCTGCTTGGAGACTCTGAGCCGTTACCCCCCCTTCATATGTCAGAGCTGCTGGGCAGCCCGACTCGCTGTCAAGTGCGGATTGAACCTGCCTGCGCAGCAAACTGCATCGCGGAATTCTGACATGCTCTAAACATCGTGCTCACCCGCAAGACCAAAGGAAACATTTGATCATATTCCAATACGGCCAAGCACCAAAGCAGCTGCTCGAAACCAACGTATCCGCGCGTTCTTCAAGACTCTGAGCCCCAATAAGTTTGGTTCCAAACCACACGCTAATGCAGCTGCTATGAGCTCTGATCACTGCCACTGGCAAATCATCCTTCAGCGTGCTTGCCAACAGGCACAAACGCCTCCGCAACTACACGCAACAACCCCATGGCCCATCATGGCCTGGCAAACACATTCTACCTGCAATAGCCAAACCTCGACGATGCCGCCAGCTCGCAGCTACATCACAAGCACCTAGCACTTCAAAACAACACGGGTCCTGCCAATCAGACGCAGGCACAAGCAGCCCTGCTCGAGAAAAATTGCGAATCTGAGAAACGGTTGACGTCTCGAGTCTCATCCTCAAAGCAGGCCAACATGGTCTATCTTCTTCAGCAACAATCATCCCCACAACCATCTCAGAGTCCACTGACCACAGCCCTAGCTCAACAGTCCCACCAGCTCGCACTCTGCCCAGAACCAAAAGTCACTTCCAAAAAGCACCGGTCCCGCCAATCAGACATCTAAGGAGGTCCTTCAGGCAGGCACAAGCGGCCTTGCTCGGACACCAACTGCGAATGTGAGAAACGGTTGACGTCTCGAGTCTCATCCTCAAAGCAGGCCAGCTCGGTTTATCTTCTTCAGCAACAATCATCCCCACAACCATCTCAGAGTCCACTGACCACAGCCCTAGCTCAACAATGCCACCAGCTCGCAGTCTCCCCAGAACCAAAAGTCACTTCCAAAAGGAGCCGGTCCCGCCAATCAGACATCTAAGGAGGTCCTTCACGCAGGCACAAGCGGCCTTGCTCGGACACCAACTGCGAATGTGAGAAACGGTTGACGTCTCGAGTCTCATCCTCAAAGCAGGCCAGCTCGGTTTATCTTCTTCAGCAACAATCATCCCCACAACCATCTCAGAGTCCACTGACCACAGCCCTAGCTCAACAGTCCCACCAGCTCGCACTCTGCCCAGAACAGAAAGTCACTTCCAAAAAGCAGCGGTCCTGCCAATCAGACATCTAAGGAGATCCTTCACGCAGGCACAAGCGGCCTTGCTCGGACACCAACTGCGAATGTGAGAAACGGTTGACGCTTCGAGTCTCATCCTCAAAGCAGGCCAACATGGTCTATCTCCATCAGCAACAATCATCCCCACAACCATCTCAGAGTCCACTGACCACAGCCCTAGCTCAACAGTCCCACCAGCTCGCACTCTGCCAGAACCAAAAGTCACTTCAAAAAGCACCGGTCCCGCCAATCAGACATCTAAGGAGGTCCTTCACGCAGGCACCAGCGGCCTAGCTCGGACACCAACTGCGAATGTGAGAAACGGTTGACGTCTCAAGTCTCATCCTCAAAGCAGGCCAGCTCGGTTTATCTTCTTCAGCAACAATCATCCCCACAACCATCTCAGAGTCCACTGACCACAGCCCTAGCTCCACCAATTCGCAATCTCTCCAGAACCAAAAGCCACTTCCAAGAAGCACCGATCCTGCCAATCAGACATCTAAGGAGGTCCTTCACGCAGGCACAAGCGGCCTTGCTCGGACACCAACTGCGAATGTGAGAAACGGTTGACGTCTCGAGTCTCATCCTCAAAGAAGGCCAGCTCGGGCTATCTTCTTCAGCAACAATCATCCCCACAACCATCTCAGAGTCCACTGACCACAGCCCTAGCTCAACAGTCCCACCAGCTCGCACTCTGCCCAGAACCAAAAGTCACTTCCAAAAAGCACCGGTCCCGCCAATCAGACATCTAAGGAGGTCCTTCACGCAGGCACAAGCGGCCTTGCTCGGACACCAACTGCGAATGTGAGAAACGGTTGACGTCTCGAGTCTCATCCTCAAAGCAGGCCAGCTCGGGCTATCTTCTTCAGCAACAATCATCCCCACAACCATCTCAGAGTCCACTGACCACAGCCCTAGCTCAACAGTCCCACCAGCTCGCACTCTGCCCAGAACCAAAAGTCACTTCCAAAAAGCACCGGTCCCGCCAATCAGACATCTAAGGAGGTCCTTCACGCAGGCACAAGCGGCCTTGCTCGGACACCAACTGCGAATGTGAGAAACGGTTGACGTCTCGAGTCTCATCCTCAAAGCAGGCCAGCTCGGTCTATCTTCTTCAGCAACAATCATCCCAACAACCATCTCAGAGTCCACTGACCACAGCCCTAGCTCAACAGTCCCACCAGCTCGCACTCTGCCCAGAACCAAAAGTCACTTCCAAAAAGCAGCGGTCCCGCCAATCAGACATCTAAGGAGGTCCTTCACGCAGGCACAAGCGGCCTTGCTCGGACACCAACTGCGAATGTGAGAAACGGTTGACGTCTCGAGTCTCATCCTCAAAGCAGGCCAACATGGTCTATCTTCTTCAGCAACAATCATCCCCACAACCATCTCAGAGTCCACTGACCACAGCCCTAGCTCAACAGTCCCACCAGCTCGCACTCTGCCCAGAACCAAAAGTCACTTCCAAAAAGCACAGGCCCCGCCAATCAGACATCTAAGGAGGTCCTTCACGCAGGCACAAGATGCCTTGCTCGGACACCAACTGCGAATGTGAGAAACGGTTGACGTCTCGAGTTCATCCTCAAAGCAGGCCCAGCAGTTCGGGCCATCTTCTTCAGCAAACACTTCATCCCCACAACCCACCAGAGTCCCACTGACCCAGCCAAGGCTCAACAGTCCACCAGCTCGCACTCTGCCCAGAACCACAAGTCACTTCCAACACGCACCGGTCCCGCCAATCAGGACCTCTACGGAGGTCCTTTCACGCATGCCCAAGCGGCCTTGCACGGAACACCAACTGCGAATTGTGAGAAACGGATGCGTTCTCGGTCTCATCCTCAAAGCAGGCCAGCTCGGTCTATCTTCTTCAGCAACAATCATCCCAACAACCATCTCAGAGTCCACTGACCACAGCCCTAGCTCAACAGTCCCACCAACTCGCACTCTGCCCAGAACCAAAAGTCACTTCCAAAAAGCAGCGGTCCTGCCAATCAGACATCTAAGGAGGTCCTTCACGCAGGCACAAGCGGCCTTGCTCGGACACCAACTGCGAATGTGAGAAACGGTTGACGTCTCGAGTCTCATCCTCAAAGCAGGCCAACATGGTCTATCTTCTTCAGCAACAATCATCCCACAACCATCTCAGAGTCCACTGACCACAGCCCTAGCTCAACAGTCCCACCAGCTCGCACTCTGCCAGAACCAAAAGTCACTTCCAAAAAGCACCGGTCCCGCCAATCAGACATCTAAGGAGGTCCTTCACGCAGGCACAAGCGGCCTTGCTCGGACACCAACTGCGAATGTGAGAAACGGTTGACGTCTCGAGTCTCATCCTCAAAGCAGGCCAGCTCGGTTATCTTCTTCAGCAACAATCATCCCCACAACCATCTCAGAGTCCACTGACCACAGCCCTAGCTCAACAGTCCCACCAGCTCGCACTCTGCCCAGAACCAAAAGTCACTTCCAAAAAGCACCGGTCCCGCCAATCAGACATCTAAGGAGGTCCTTCACGCAGGCACAAGCGGCCTTGCTCGGACACCAACTGCGAATGTGAGAAACGGTTGACGTCTCGAGTCTCATCCTCAAAGCAGGCCAGCTCGGGCTATCTTCTTCAGCAACAATCATCCCCACAACCATCTCAGAGTCCACTGACCACAGCCCTAGCTCAACAGTCCCACCAGCTCGCACTCTGCCCAGAACCAAAAGTCACTTCCAAAAAGCACCGGTCCCGCCAATCAGACATCTAAGGAGGTCCTTCACGCAGGCACAAGCGGCCTTGCTCGGACACCAACTGCGAATGTGAGAAACGGTTGACGTCTCGAGTCTCATCCTCAAAGCAGGCCAACATGGTCTATCTTCTTCAGCAACAATCATTCCCACAACCATCTCAGAGTCCACTGACCACAGCCCTAGCTCAACAGTCCCACCAGCTCGCACTCTGCCAGAACCAAAAGTCACTTCCAAAAGCACGGTCCCGCCAATCAGACATCTAAGGAGGTCCTCACGCAGGCACAAGCGGCCTTGCTCGGACACCAACTGCGAATGTGAGAAACGGTTGACGTCTCGAGTCTCATCCTCAAAGCAGGCCAACATGGGCTATCTTCTTCAGCAACAATCATCCCCACAACCATCTCAGAGTCCACTGACCACAGCCCTAGCTCAACAGTCCCACCAGCTCGCACTCTGCCCAGAACCAAAAGTCACTTCCAAAAAGCACCGGTCCCGCCAATCAGACATCTAAGGAGGTCCTTCACGCAGGCACAAGCGGCCTTGCTCGGACACCAACTGCGAATGTGAGAAACGGTTGACGTCTCAAGTCTCATCCTCAAAGCAGGCCAGCTCGGTTTATCTTCTTCAGCAACAATCATCCCCACAACCATCTCAGAGTCCACTGACCACAGCCCTAGCTCCACCAATTCGCAATCTCTCCAGAACCAAAAGCCACTTCCAAGAAGCACCGATCCTGCCAATCAGACATCTAAGGAGGTCCTTCACGCAGGCACCAGCGGCCTTGCTCGGACACCCACTGCGAATGTAAGAAACGGTTGACGTCTCGAGTCTCATCCTCAAAGCAGACCAGCTCGGTTTATCTTCTTCAGCAACAATCATCCCCACAACTATCTCAGAGTCCACTGACCACAGCCCTAGCTCAACAGTCCCACCAGCTCGCACTCTGCCCAGAACCAAAAGTCACTTCCAAAAAGCACCGGTCCCGCCAATCAGACATCTAAGGAGGTCCTTCACGCAGGCACAAGATGCCTTGCTCGGACACCAACTGCGAATGTGAGAAACGGTTGACGTCTCGAGTCTCATCCTCAAAGCAGGCCAGCTCGGTTTATCTTCTTCAGCAAATCCCCACAACCAGCTGGGAGTCCACTGACACAGCCCTAGCTCAACAGTCTCACCAGCTCGCAGTCTCCACAGAACCAAAGTGACTTCAAAAAAACGGTCCTGCCAATCAGACATCTAAGGAGGTCCTTCACGCAGGCACAAGCGGCCTTGCTCGGACACCAACTGCGAATGTGAGAAACGGTTGACGTCTCGAGTCTCATCCTCAAAGCAGGCCAGCTCGGTTTATCTTCTTCAGCAAATCCCCACAACCAGCTGGGAGTCCACTGACACAGCCCTAGCTCAACAGTCTCACCAGCTCGCAGTCTCCACAGAACCAAAGTGACTTCAAAAAAACGGTCCTGCCAATCAGACATCTAAGGAGGTCCTTCACGCAGGCACAAGCGGCCTTGCTCGGACACCAACTGCGAATGTGAGAAACGGTTGACGTCTCGAGTCTCATCCTCAAAGCAGACCAGCTCGGGCTATCTTCTTCAGCAACAATCATCCCCACAACCATCTCAGAGTCCACTGACCACAGCCCTAGCTCATCAGTCCAACCAGCTCGCACTCTGCCCGGAACCAAGAGGTCACTTCCAAAAAGAGCCGGTCCCGCCAATCAGACATCTAAGGAGGTCCTTCACGCAGGCACAAGCGGCCTTGCTCGGACACCAACTGCGAATGTGAGAAACGGTTGACGTCTCGAGTCTCATCCTCAAAGCAGGCCAACATGGTCTATCTTCTGGAGCAACAATCATTCCCACAACCATCTCAGAGTCCACTGACCACAGCCCTAGCTCATCAGTCCAACCAGCTCGCACTCTGCCCAGAACCAAACGCCACTTCCAAGAAGCACCGATCCTGCCAATCAGACATCTAAGGAGGTCCTTCACGCAGGCACAAGCGGCCTTGCTTGGACACCAACTGCGAATGTGAGAAACGGTTGACGTCTCGAGTCTCATCCTCAAAGCAGGCCAGCTCGGTTTATCTTCTTCAGCAAATCCCCACAACCATCTCAGAGTCCACTGACCACAGCCCTAGCTCAACAGTCCCACCAGCTCGCAGTCTGCCCAGAACCAAAAGTCACTTCCAAAAAGCAGCGGTCCTGCCAATCAGACATCTAAGGAGGTCCTTCACGCAGGCACAAGCGGCCTTGCTCGGACACCAACTGCAAATGTGAGAAACGGTTGACGTCTCGAGTCTCATCCTCAAAGCAGGCCAACATGGTCTATCTTCTTCAGCAACAATCATCCCCACAACCATCTCAGAGTCCACTGACCACAGCCCTAGCTCAACAGTCCCACCAGCTCGCACTCTGCCAGAACCAAAAGTCACTTCCAAAAAGCACCGGTCCCGCCAATCAGACATCTAAGGAGGTCCTTCACGCAGGCACAAGCGGCCTTGCTCGGACACCAACTGCGAATGTGAGAAACGGTTGACGTCTCGAGTCTCATCCTCAAAGCAGACCAGCTCGGTTTATCTTCTTCAGCAACAATCATCCCCACAACATCTCAGAGTCCACTGACCACAGCCCTAGCTCAACAGTCCCACCAGCTCGCACTCTGCCCAGAACCAAAAGTCACTTCCAAAAAGCACCGGTCCCGCCAATCAGACATCTAAGGAGGTCCTTCACGCAGGCACAAGCGGCCTTGCTCGGACACCAACTGCGAATGTGAGAAACGGTTGACGTCTCGAGTCTCATCCTCAAAGCAGGCCAGCTCGGGCTATCTCCATCAGCAACAATCATCCCCACAACCATCTCAGAGTCCACTGACTACAGCCCTAGCTCCACCAATTCGCAATGTCTCCAGAACCAAAAGCCACTTCCAAGAAGCACCGATCCTGCAAATCAGACATCTAAGGAGGTCCTTCACGCAGGCACCAGCGGCCTTGCTCGGACACCAACTGCGAATGTGAGAAACGGTTGACGTCTCGAGTCTCATCCTCAAAGCAGGCCAACATGGTCTATCTTCTTCAGCAACAATCATCCCCACAACCATCTCAGAGTCCACTGACCACAGCCCTAGCTCCACCAATTCGCAATCTCTCCAGAACCAAAAGCCACTTCCAAGAAGCACCGATCCTGCCAATCAGACATCTAAGGAGGTCCTTCACGCAGGCACCAGCGGCCTTGCTCGGACACCCACTGCGAATGTGAGAAACGGTTGACGTCTCGAGTCTCATCCTCAAAGCAGGCCAACATGGTCTATCTTCTTCAGCAACAATCATTCCCACAACCATCTCAGAGTCCACTGACCACAGCCCTAGCTCATCAGTCCAACCAGCTCGCACTCTGCCCAGAACCAAACGCCACTTCCAAGAAGCACCGATCCTGCCAATCAGACATCTAAGGAGGTCCTTCACGCAGGCACAAGCGGCCTTGCTTGGACACCAACTGCGAATGTGAGAAACGGTTGACGTCTCGAGTCTCATCCTCAAAGCAGGCCAGCTCGGTCTATCTTCTTCAGCAACAATCATCCCAACAACCATCTCAGAGTCCAATGACCACAGCCCTAGCTCATCAGTCCAACCAGCTCGCACTCTGCCCAGAACCAAACGCCACTTCCAAGAAGCACCGATCCTGCCAATCAGACATCTAAGGAGGTCCTTCACGCAGGCACAAGCGGCCTTGCTTGGACACCAACTGCGAATGTGAGAAACGGTTGACGTCTCGAGTCTCATCCTCAAAGCAGGCCAGCTCGGTCTATCTTCTTCAGCAAATCCCCACAACCAGCTGGGAGTCCACTGACACAGCCCTAGCTCAACAGTCTCACCAGCTCGCACTCTGCCCAGAACCAAAAGTCACTTCCAAAAAGCGCCGGTCCCGCCAATCAGACATCTAAGGAGGTCCTTCACGCAGGCACAAGCGGCCTTGCTCGGACACCAACTGCGAATGTGAGAAACGGTTGACGTCTCGAGTCTCATCCTCAAAGCAGGCCAGCTCGGTCTATCTTCTTCAGCAACAATCATCCCAACAACCATCTCAGAGTCCACTGACCACAGCCCTAGCTCAACAGTCCCACCAGCTCGCACTCTGCCCAGAACAAAAGTCACTTCCAAAAAGAACCGGTCCCGCCAATCAGACATCTAAGGAGGTCCTTCACGCAGGCACAAGATGCCTTGCTCGGACACCAACTGCGAATGTGAGAAACGGTTGACGTCTCGAGTCTCATCCTTAAAGCAGACCAGCTCGGTTTATCTTCTTCAGCAACAATCATCCCCACAACCATCTCAGAGTCCACTGACCACAGCCCTAGCTCAACAGTCCCACCACCTCGCACTCTGCCCGGAACCAAAAGTCACTTCCAAAAAGAACCGGTCCCGCCAATCAGACATCTAAGGAGGTCCTTCACGCAGGCACAAGCGGCCTTGCTCGGACACCAACTGCGAATGTGAGAAACGGTTGACGTCTCGAGTCTCATCCTCAAAGCAGACCAGCTCGGTTTATCTTCTTCAGCAACAATCATCCCAACAACCATCTCAGAGTCCACTGACCACAGCCCTAGCTCAACAGTCCCACCAGCTCGCACTCTGCCCAGAACCAAAAGTCACTTCCAAAAAGCACCGGTCCCGCCAATCAGACATCTAAGGAGGTCCTTCACGCAGGCACAAGCGGCCTTGCTCGGACACCAACTGCGAATGTGAGAAACGGTTGACGTCTCGAGTCTCATCCTTAAAGCAGGCCAGCTCGGTTTATCTTCTTCAGCAACAATCATCCCAACAACCATCTCAGAGTCCAGTGACCACAGCCCTAGCTCAACAGTTGCCACCAGCTCGCAGTATCTCCAGAAGATAAGGTGACTTCCAAGAAGCACCGATCCTGCCAATCAGACATCTAAGGAGGTCCTTCAGGCAGGCACAAGCGGCCTTGCTCGGACACCAACTGCGAATGTGAGAAACGGTTGACGTCTCAAGTCTCATCCTCAAGGCAGGCCAACTCATTCAAGCATTTGCTTCAAGCACCGCATGAATGCATCTGTCATCAATTCTGATCAGCTGTTGCTTGACGACTCCGCAACACGGGCGAACCATCACCAACATCATACACCCAAACAAAATCCCGCGGACGCCACCTGAACGCTCTTTGTGACTCTACCACGGCCATGTCATGCAAAGCGGGAAACAATAGGAACTATCTGCCTGGTGTTGTACCTCAGGTTGTACCCTTGCTTGCTATGTATATCCGTTTTCTCATGAATCCGAAGCGGCCTGAAGTACTGAAGCTGCTGGGAGTTGTGCTGGGAGCTCTCACCTTGAGCTTGCGCGACGTAGAGACCCCCCTCCCTTTCAGGCGCGTTGACAATACATCCAGACAAAAGGAAACCCAAACCTGGCTAACCTAAGTACCCCCGGAGGTTCCATTGGGTGCCTTGCTCGTCTTTCAGCCTTTCGGCCCTTTTTCAGCGCACCCGCGTTCGAAAATGTGTGTTTCCACTCTCAGAGCTGCGAGGACTCCTGCAGCAGCGACAGGCAGCCGCAGCGGGTGAGCACCGCCTGAGCGAGCGGTTGAAAGAAACCTGTCTCATTCTGTTTTCGAGTCTTGCCTGTCAATGCTGCCTGAACATACACAGGAGTTTGAGGAGACGATCTGATTTTCTGATCCTATGTCAACCAGAAGTCACAAGGCGGTGCTTGATTTTACGCAGCCAAAAGCCCCGGAAAGGAGCTTGTGGCATAGAAAGAATAGCATCCAAGAGACATTTTAAATGGCCATGCAAAGGCGGACCACGAAAGCAGCATGCCAATGGGCTAGAACATGCAATCTTTGGCAGGTTGATGTGCCTTGGTAAAGCAATCTCTCAACCATGAGAACCTTCGGTGGGCTCAGCAAGCCCAGCGCGTGCGCGAGCAAAGGAAACCAAAGTGGAAAACGTGCATAAACAAGGTTCTCCGCGGTCGCCAAGGTTTCGGTGCCTCCAAAATTGATTGAGTCACCCTGTGTCGACGTCATAATCTTTGAGCACAGCTCTGCAAATCCAAAGCCAGAATTTTATCCCGGGAGCGATCCCAGGGAGGACAGACAAACTCTCCCATGACCCCCATTCAGCATAACCCGCAGCATGGATCCCTTCTGTATGCAAAAACCCTCCGGCGGCCCAAGTTCCCGTCCAGTGGCCTTTCTGAGTCCATCCCTCCAATCCTCCCGCCTCGAGCTCCGCGCACCGGGCCTGGGCGAACTTCCGTCGCAGCTCCTCGGTCCCCAACCAGTGGCTTCTGAGGACCACATGGGACGCCCTAGGGCGCCAGAGCACATGATTCACATGATCGTTTGGTGCAAGCTGGAACCTGTTATTGGAACCCAGTCTAGGATCTCTGACAAGTATCACACACCTGGCGTATCTCAACTCGAGTCGCGTGCTTGAATTCAAAAATACCATGAGATCTAACAGGTGGTATCAGTTTTCCCTTTGCCTGAGTTGCCCGGATGGTGAACATGTTTGACAGTCTCGAGGACTCGTCAAAATGAGCATCAAATTTAACCAGTACGTAAGATAAGACACGACAAGGACCAAAGGAAAAACCAGGAGCCACCAAGAAGACTTATCAGGAAACATCGTTTGTGGCCCTGAGTCCTGCAGCGACTTGGCGTGGTACTTCTGCGGGCCTCCCACCTCCGAAGAAGCGCAGAAAGGAAAGCATGCTAGGAAGGCACTATCTATTGCTTTTGTTTTCCCAAATGGGTGCCAGCTTAGTTTCTAAAAACTAACACGCAATCCAGGAAGATCTCGTGATAATGTTTCGGCAGTTTAGTTTCAGCTTGAGTTTCAGCTTCCCAGCTTGACCCTTCTTTGCTGTTCTTCTTTAAGTCTTTGCGCGAATTGACTGCCAGGGAGCTGTCTGATACCACTGCTGCCCAGCACCCAGGTCGAGTCTCAACTCCTGCAGACCACGCCCGTGCGGCCACGAAAGTGTATCCAAGTGGCAACCCAGGTCAGAGGTGAACAATCAGCTTGGAGCTGAAGCATAAGGCAACCAAGGTACATTGGCAGTACTTCATGCGAATTCAAGCGCTGCATGGCCCCACCACACTATGGCCAAAATGTTGCCTGGCCAACTTGTGTCAGGTGACACCGCAACTTGTCTTGGTTAGCTCGCCCCACTTGGCTGTGCCAAATTTCATTGTCAGTTGCACTACATTGGATACAAGCAGCTAAAGTCAATCTTTGGTGCGAAAACGGCGATTTGCAGCTGTTCTGGTACTGTGCGAATGACAGGCCGAAAACCATCCCCTGTGTCCGTCTTCTGCGCTCGCAAGGCTTTGGCGACCCCATCAGACCATCCTGGGATATGCAGACAATCTGTCGCTTGTTGCCATCGGACCATGCGCGCCAAACGCGACCCAGGGGCGAAGGAACATCTGGACCTGCGAAGCAATCAAGGGCTCCAGTGTGCTGGCCTTAGCCGGCCGAACCAGGTCCTTGTTCAAACAGATACCTCTTTTCATATTCGGAACCCAACATGTCGTCACGAGACAGTGGAAACAAGTCCCTAGTGCGGTGGCTCAGAGTCGAAAGGTGAGTTTAGCACCTCCAGATTGCGTACAACTTGTCCGGAAGCTTCAAAAAAGCATTCGCAGCTCGAGGCTTGTACCAAATTAACCAAATACCTCTACTAAACCCCTGCCATCATGCAATGGGGCTTCGAAACAACTCCTCCGATTCACAACCCGGCAGAAAGACAAACAAACAAAAACGACACAGCTCAAACAGGGATGACAAATCGGTCTGATCCGCCGGGGCACCAGCGAAGACCAATCCTCGAAGGCACCGTCGCCCACCATGCGTGGATTGACCATGGCCTTCGGAGCGTATTGATTTGGCAAGTCTCTGCCTGAATCCAACAAGACACGGGCCCAGGTTGGTTAAATGGGCAACCAACAGTTTTTAAAAGGCACTTACAAATATTGATGATGTTGAACATCTGGCTCCTTGTCGCAGTGAAAGTGGATCAGCCACGTACTCACCTTTGATGAATGCAGAGGGGAAATCAAAGCGGGCATTGATTCCTGCGATTGAGACACTACACCGGCATAGACCCCAAATGGCATGGGACATGTTCAACAGCACCCTGACCGGAACCCTGACTGCATTGCCAAACAAGCACTAGCAACTCCAACGTGCCTTGGGCACACCAAACAGCACCTTGAACAGCACCCAAACAGTCTGACTCACACCCCCAAACAGCACCCAAAACAGCACCCCGACCAGCACCCTTGCTGCCAGCCACCACACCACCTTGAGCAGACAAAACAGCACCGTAACCAGCACCACCAGCAACTGCCAGCGTTTCTTGAGCACATCGAACCCTGACTGCATCGCCAAACAAGCACAGCCAGCAACCACCACACCACCTTTAGCGCACCAAACAGCACCTTGAACCTCCCCCTGACTGCAGCGCCGAGCAAGCACCGCCAGTCACCACCCTGACCAGCACCCTGACCATCACCCTAACCAGCACTCACAGCCCCAACCTGGCCCGATTTTGCTCAAAAAACCCACAACTTTAGAAATAATAAGAACTATAGCTAAGCTATCTGGGGACGAAACCTTCACGCAAACTGGGATTTGGCTTCCAAGCACTGGCATGACGTTGATGCCAATGGAAAACCAAAAAGAATAGGCAGCAGTACTGCAAGGCCTTTTTTTTGAAATGGTCGCCTCGCACCAGAGAGCCACATGAGGTGCGTGCAGACGCATCAGCTCGCCAGCATAAAGGTCACCGAAGCACCTGGCACCGGAGCCAAGGTCCCCTTTCGGAGCGGATTGGGCCTGGAATCGCGAAAAAAACGAAACTGCCTCAAGGCAATGAAGGCTTGAGGCACATCATAAACTGATTCCCCAAGGCCCAACCCTTAACCCCCAAAGACTAAACAACCTAAGGCCTACACAAACGCCATCTCGCACAATGGAAAGCAAAACCCCAAACAACGCTTTATCCTAAATCACCCTGAAGCCCGAAAACGAATGATTGAACCTAAAGGCTTAAATCCCAAAGGCCTGAAACCACGAGGCCTTCAAAGGCGTAAACCCTAAAACCGCCGTGAACAAGCACCTCCTTGTTACACGGGTGAAGCAGGCAACCCGAGCAAATGAAAACAGCATTTTCATGCTAACCCCTGAAAGACTTGCGAGGGCAGGGGGGTGAACAATGTCAACGACAAGCGCCCAACTCCAAAACCCACCGCAAAGTGGGGGGAGGGACGGGGGAAGGACGATCCAAGTCGAGGCGCTGGTACAGCTGCCCCGCCAGCCCAAAGTCCGCCAAGGCCGGGCGCCGCCCGAAGAGGAAGGCCCGTCCGTCCAGGTGTCGCTCCAGCAGCAGCAAAGTGTCCAGGTAGGACCTCGCAACTGCGCAGGTCTATTGGAAACCGACCAAGGGCTGGCTTTGAACTGCCTCATGAGGGAACGAGTTCCACTGCAATTTGCGGTTGGTCCATGGTACGTTAGGAACGGATCGCAACACCTCAAACTCAGATTGATGAAACTTGTCAAGTAGGGCCTTTCAAAGAAGCGTCCTCGGAAAAGGTTGTGCATGCTGGGCTCCTGAGCATTGTGGTTTTGCCGAGGTCAAGATAGGGTCACCCCAACACTTCACGAGGTACGTTGAAAACTTCCCCGAAGGAGCAGGTTGCAAATAGCCCCTATGTGTCCACTACTGCGGGATGTGGGGGGGTGGGCCGAACCCCTAGACAGGCCACTCTGGTCGTCAGCCCTGATCCATTTGAAGGTCCGTCAAAAATTGCTGTTCACAGTAAGTACGTTAGAATCTTGAGAGTCCCCTCTCGTTTTCCAGCGTTTGGTCCGTAACACCAAGGTATCTGTTTTTTGGAGAGTCCCCTATCGTTTTCCATGGTTTCAAGCACCGGGAGCTATATGGATGTCCAAGTGTAGACTACTTTCCTTTTCCGTAAATTCTGAGCGCGCTTCATCTGTGTGCCCTTGATTGCACGCACCAGTCATCAGTGCTTAGTGTGTCGAGTGCAAGAACAAACAAATAGGCTAAGCCAAAAGATGGATGAATTGAACCAGGCGGAGCATACTCCAACAAATTTCGGAAGTGTCGGCTCAGGAAAAAATGAAGCAAAACACCATGTCAACCAACAGGCACGTGAGCCACTGATGCAAACAGTACGATCATGTCATGACAACGCCTTACCCCAATCATGAAAAGCCTGCAGGGTTGGTTCGGATGGCTATCAACCCCTGTTCACAAATGGATGTTTTGCAAACGTCTCAAACCGTACACATGGAGCATGTCACAACATATGCAACTGATGCTGTCTTAAGATAGGTTTAGGGTTGGTGTAGCAGCTGATACCAATTACGTTTGACTTTGGTGTAGTTTTGGTGCAGTTTTGCACTTGGTTTGTGTGATTCGGGGAGAGATTCAGTTTGGATTAGGTCAGGATTGAGCGTTGAGTTAGGCCTGGGTTGGCTTCGGACTGATTTAGAGCGAGTGTGGGATTAGCCTTGATCGGGTTCGATTGGGTTTGGGCTTAATTCCAGTTTGGTTCAAGGGTTGTGCTTTTAGCGCTGTACTTGCATAGGATTGCATAGGGTTTGGTTTACGGTTTAACACTTGAGCTTCGGCTGAGCTTAGGGCTGGTGTGGGCTTTAGATGGAGTTAGGACTCCCCCCACATATGATCTACAAGTGATCCTCAATAGAATGATATCAAAACTCACTCATTCATGCACAAGCTGTTTCGGGCCACTTGAGGTTAGTCAACTCTCCCTTTTGGCTGGCGCTCGGGAATGCCGCTGCTTACCCTCCAACCTATCGCGGAATCTACAGAAGGCCACTCGCAAATAGCGGCAGTCTTCTAACTTCTCAAGTCAGCGAGGCGGAGTGTCTTTCAAACGTTCACGGATGCTGGTTTGACCTCGATTTCAATAACAACCATGCCGTCGAAGCAATCAAACGCATCCAGCGCGCTTGACTTTGGAGTTGCTCCCCGTTGGATAGGCATCTTGGTTTGAAGGGCAAGCAAGGAGAGCGGCATCTGGTGCTATGGGTGTGACCAACCTCGTGGCTTGTTTTTTCTCCCTTTTTCTGGAACGTGTCGCGCAAAAGCTGCAGCGAGGGGGGGCCCTACTGCGGCGACAAACGACCCAAATCTATCTGCCCGCTGACTTGAATGACATCAGCTTTTCATGTTGGGGCATGTTGGCAAAGCCAAGGGGTTGTCACTTGTTGACTATCTCTATCTTCATCTACATGTGTTTCACAATTTCGGCTCAGGGGCTGCTCGATGATGGTGGCGGTCGAGGAGTTGGAACCGACCTCAAAGTTGAAGCCCAGTTCTTAGGCGTTGCATTCTCGCGTCCACAAGCTTTGGCTATCCCCAAGGCTTCTTGCGTTCCAAAAGTTCCATCGGAGGCCTCTGCTGAAATGTAATGAGCCGTGCATTGCTCTCGATGGACGTAGAAACACAAGTGACTCGCTGTGCTCTTGCTGCAGCATTCTAAAAAATCCTTTGAAGGGCAAATCCTAGATGAAAGCACATTGCGACATGCCAACAAGCCTTTGTAGCTCTGAACCCCCCCCCAAATCCCCGCTCCAGAATCTCACATCCCAACTCCAAAACTCCAAAGACCGCGAGCGACTTCGTCCCAGTGGCCGTGAAGCCCCGGTCCAGCATTCGCTCCCGGAAGGCCTGCGCGCCCTGGTCCACTCGCTCCATCGCTTCTGGGCCCACCGGCGCGCCTGTCGGACGCCGCTTGCGCCAGCCGCGGGCCCAGGGAAAACGCAATGACCTTCGTACAGTACATCTTCATTTTCTTTACCCAGGCTCTTTGGCCGACACCAGTCATACAGTCATAGCCTGAACTGGCCAGGGGCGTTTCAAAACGCTGCTCCCAAAAAAGCTCTCAAGGAGCGTCAATCCCGATGGATGAATGATTCAGGCCACTCACAGCAGGATACCCTCAAAGTAGCAGGCAGGGGGGAACCTAAAGCAAACAGTGCCACACCACAAAGAACTGACTCATTGGCCTGGAATAAAAGCTGCCAAAACAGTCACCGTCCTTGTTGTTTTGGCCAGCTAGAGCAATTGCGAAAAGGGCAAGGCCCGGTCATGCCCCACAAATCCGGACCCACCTGAGCAAAACTCGGCTGCGATCTTTCTGGAGTACCATTCAGCTGTGGGTCCAGACTTGGAGCTGTACCAGCGCAAATGCATCATCCACTTGTTGCCCCATTCGTCGGCAAACTCCTCCAACAAGTCGGACATGAAGCGTCCCAGCAAGGTGGGTGGATAAATTGAAGGATCTTGGAACAGCGACTCCAGCTGCTCGATGATAGGGGTTGAATCTTGCAGGCCCACACCATCTGGTGTTATCAGAGTTGGCACCAGCGGAAGTTTTGAGTATTTCTTGTGCTCCGCCAGAGCCTCCGGGGAATTCCGCACCAGCCACACATGGTCAACCTCCTTGTAACGCAGGTACGAACGCACCTTGACGCTGTAGGGCGAACCATTGGAACCAAAGAGGCGGTACGGGCCCATGACTGCTTGCTACAAGATGCTTCATCTGTCCCTGTGACATTGATCTTTTGGTGTATGTACCCAATGTCATTCCCTTACTACACAAGCTGGCAGTAAATACTGACTCCTCACATGCTATCCCGGCTATCCTTGTTTACGCGGAAGCCAGGTATGGAACGGCTTCTGACTTTTCCCAGAGCCAATTGTCTCTCCAAAGTTGCATGTGCCAGCCAAGAGGTATCGCTTCTGTAGCAAGGGAACGATGATTTCGCGGTGCCAAAAGCGGTCATGGTGTGTATCTTGCTGGCACGGGGTATGCAGTCTTCTCAGCAAACTGGCAGGGCACACGGCACCAACAATATGTCATTACTGAGCATCTGGCTGATTGAGGACATCAGGGGCAGGGCCGGCGGCAATGACAGCCTCACCAGGGCAGGCTGAAGCCACCGATGTCTGAGCAACTGCAGCATATTCCAGTCCAGTTGCTGGACTCTTGACTTTGGATCTGGGCCAATCACCCATGCTGGTGCGATGAAACTCATGTTGGATTGAATTTGGCCAACATGGGAGTTGAAATCTCAACAAATATGCCCCGTTTCACTGGCTTGCCATCCATCAGCCCAGCGGCCCTCCCTTGACCTCGGTCTTGTAGAGCTTTCCAGAAGTCAGCGTACCCTGCGGGCACTGTCACTACCAAACGTTGGATAGGCAAAAAATGGGAACCCGCAATGTTACGTCTGCCAGGTTAGTTAATACGGGGCAGCACTTCTGTTTGAGGTTCCAAGTAGTATTGCCATGATCAACGAAGGAAGGTGCAAGTCCGTCTCATCCGTCGTCTTCGTCCCTCGGCCTTGACGTTGTGGAACGCCGTGCCAAGCTCAAAGATCACCTTCCAACACCAAACCCTGAACTGGGCCGCATCTTTGCGGCTCCGAAAGAGTTGCTTCCTTTGGAGCCTCACGCGCTGACTTCGAGGCAGGCACAGTACTTGAGAGGCGTGACAGATATCTGGTGGCAGGCGCAATACTTTGGAGCTTGGGCTCTGTTTTGGGGCTGTTTGGGTTGTTTTGGGCGCTGTTGGAGGGGCCGAGGGTGCTGGGGGCATGCCTAACGTAACTTGGCTCAGGTGCTGTTTGGGCTCTGTTTGTCGAACGGCTGTGCGGGGGGGGGCTGTTGGAGGCGCTGGTGATGGTCGCGGCGCGTGTTTTTCCCTACATAGCTTAAGCTATTGGTTCTTTTACTTGTAAAGGGGGGTTGTAGCGAAATGGTGCTGCGGGCGCCGACTAGGGTGGGCGCGGTTTCGATGTGGTTGTGGTATCATCATGATGCTATGCTGCCTGCATCATCATGATGCTGTCCGCATCACCACAATGCATTTGAACTTTGTCGCTGCTCTAATTGTACCGCTCAATGGTTCGTGGTTGGTGTATCATGATGACGGTGTCAACGTTATCATGACGCTGCTGGAATCACGGAACCATTGCAATACCGCGTTCTGGTTCGTGGGTGTGGAATCATCATGATGCTGTCCACATCATCATGATGTTGTCAACATCATCATGATGGTATTGAACTCATCAGGACGTCGTCGCTGCTTGCAATGTAGCGCGCAAGGGTTCGTGGCTGGTGTTTACTGTTGTCCGTTGATGATTCCGCATCATCATGACGCTGTCTGCATCATCATGATACCGCAACATGGTGCGTGGCTGGTGTATCAGCATGATGCTGCTGGAACCATTGCGATGCTGCATCATGGTTCGTAGCCGTGGCATGCTATCTGGAGTCTATGCCCGTGTAATGTCTAATCAACGTCTGGTGTCGCTAATTTTGACACATTTCGGTCCCTCGAGTCAGTCAAAGTCATGCTTAAAGAAGACCCACTGCCTGGTTAAGTTTGGGAGTCTTGTTGCGTCCGCACCTCCTCTGACAAGGTTGGGCGGTAGCGCAAGGCATCCCAAATAGCATCCACCTGGCATCGTCGCTGGAATGCGGCACTTTCCGAAATCCGCAATGCCCAGTGAGCAACACAGCCGTCGCGCCCGCGATCGAAATGGAAAGCGTGGGTCTGAAGGCCCCTGCAGCAGCCTCGAATCGACTGCCCTCCCGGCCTGCTTCATGGTTTCCTCGTAATGGGAAATCACCATGGGCCCTGGCGCTGAAACAATTCCATGAAGGTAAGCTGGAGGATGCCCGAAGGTGGCTGAACCAATGGCCAAAGCGGTGGAGGTGGCTTTGATGAGATGAAGAAATATACCAACTGCTTCTCGTCTCCAGGCCTACGTCTATGCTTTTTATTGTGAACTGTCCGATCACGCTCAATGCAAATCCGCCTCCATCCATAAGCTCCACATCCTGCAGGCAAGCAGTCAAGCAAGCAATGCCTGCAACCAGAGTGCATGGCTCGTATTCAAATTCCTGTGTTGATCATGCATGGCAATGTTCCTATTCAGCTTCCAAAACAAATGTACATTATTGCACTGACGGTTGATCATTGGGCAAAAAACGCAGCGGCGAGACATGTGGTTGTTCTTCTGCCTTGAAAGCAGCAAACAAACATCTACATGAGCATCGGGGTGGAAACTGCTTTTACACACAGTGAAGAAGCCAAATTCACTCTTCACATTCACCCTTCTAGCATTCTGTCATGTTCACTTAGGATAGCTGGCGGTGCTGACACCAGTGATGTCAAGGATACACTTCGTGCTTCACACTCCCCGCCCTGCCTGTGGCGAAGCTTCCTGGATGCTGTTCCGCAACCGCCTGCCATAGGATACAGTTGGCGGTTGGCCCAGCACCTCTGTCTGAACGTCCTTTGCTTTGCGTTGGTCCCTTCCTGTTGATGTGGAAGAAATACTAGGCTTGTTTGAAGCACTTGCTCAAGTCTTGCAACAGAAGGCAAGACATCCAAACAATGTTTCATGTTGACGGCTGGCTTGGTCTGGAACATGAGGGTCAATCTCTCCCCAGTTCTCGCCTCTTTCGTTTGGATCTTTCGGGGAGAAGTGTTGAGGGGATCTGGTCAGGCCCATTGTGCAATGTCTGACGGTGCGAATTTTTGGTCGCGACTACTTTGGCATCATTGGATTGAAGGGTCAGGTTGAGGCATGATGGAGTCAGCCATTCGGATGCCATGTCAGGTAGGGTGCAGACTCCCCGCCTCAGAGATCGGTGTGCTTCTCGCTTCTGCTCCGGTCTAGTTTATATTCCCGAGAATTGGATCCTTGGCGCTAGGGGGATCAACAGCCACAAGCTTCGGATTGCTCTCCAGCAACACAGAGCCGGGGCACACATGCTTGCAGCGCCGGCTGAGATGCTCAGAGGTGGGGAGCTGCCACTGATCAAGTGGCTGTTGAGAAGCGGGTGTGACTCGCTGCAGTTTGACGACTTGCCCGCACCCTCGATGAAAACTAGACCCCACCTCTTAAGGAAAAGGATATCAGCGGCAATACTTGACACGGCATGTCGGCCCCCCCCCCCCCATGAAAAAGCGTGCTGCGCATCTGATGGAAAGGTCGATGCCAGCCAAGCGAGATCAAAGATTTCCCGGGCTTGGCGGCCTAAGAGCCTTGCTCGTCTGCAGAGTCTGCTCGCTTTGGAAACCTCAAGCAGGCATCTGAGTACCCTTATGGATAATTCATTTGAAAGGCCGCAAGCAAAGCAGAAACAAGAGGTGTCGCACGTTGTCATGTCAAGAGGAAAGAGCTATGAGTATGAGTATTAAATATTGGCCTCTGGATCATGTCGACAAACCTTCTACAGCCTGGTATGATTGAGTACGTTCAGCGGCACTTTGATCCTAGCCTACCAAGGTCGAGTTACAACAGTTCCTCTGTAGGCGCCATTCGGGCGCATGCGTTCCCTCCAGCAACCCGGCATACAGCATCCGGACCTCTCCCTCCAGTGGAGCATTTCTGCCCCAAACATAGCTCCGGGCATACGATGAGTCGTCTGAATCACGTGCTCAAGATCAGCCCAACTTGCCCTGAGGTGAGGGCTAACACCCCAGGCCAGCTGCGCCTCAGACGTCAGGTAGGCAGGGGAGAAGGATCAAGGGATTGAGCAAGCGCCCTATTTTGAACACGAAGCCTCATCTTCCGTCCAAACGGAAGCGTCACAATGACCTGGGGCCACGGCGGTGGCACCAGCCATGATAAAAATGAACAGGCTAATCAACCAAATACCTTGGTGCCCGAGCGAGTACGTGAACCTTCCAAGCTATGCGTTACACGCAATGCTCCTGACGCATGACTCGGAACCAGTAAACGCATAGAACCTGACCAATGCGGTGCTGAATGGGGTTGGACAACTTTATGAGGGGCTTTCAAACTTGCTTATCTTCATTGACTTGCCTTTTTTGCTCAATCAGCAACCCAATGGGAATTCAAGTGCTCTCCTCACAGCTGGGCAACAGGATCTGTCGACGTACGGATCACGCCAAGCCAGTCATGACGGCTACTCTGACGGTTTTTCCAGCATTTTGGCTGTCAACACAAACGTGCCAACCAAGCTGGAACCTTCCTAGCAGCGCAAATCTACACTCTCGACTCACAGAACATCTGGAGGGAAGACACGCAAACTCTAGCTCTGCGTTTCGAGTTCATTGCCGGGACACCGGTGATGGTGGTGTCCTCTACATCCTCTTCGAGGATTACAGACACGGTGCCCACCCCAACCTGGAGACGAGTCGAATCATCCGCACGGAATACCTGTGTTGTTTTCGGGTAGTTTCCAAGGGGATACTTTGGATGTCCCTTATTTTCACATCTGGCCAGCATACTCTGGCCCCAACAGCCCTGGTGGCCCTGACAGCGAAAATAGACCCCTTGCATCTCTCACTCGCTCTCTCTCTCTCTATCTTTCCCTGAGCCAATCCTTGCGTGTAAAGCAGTTGGAAGGAAAGGCAAAGTGCCTAACCCAAAGAAGACAACGCATTGCAACCATGCATAATTTCCCAATTCTGTCTTGACATTTCTCGATATTCATGATGAAGAACCCTAGAAAGCAAACTCCTGATCCCTCAGCTTCAAGATCTCAAGGTTCAGCCAAGAACAGCAAGTATGAGGAGCCCATTCATGAATCCCACAGAACCCGAGAAAGCGTGCCAACCACGCTTCACAACAGCTTTCCTATGCAAGAAACTCCTCACACTGCATGCGCTCTTACGGGAAAAAAGGGTAATCGCGAGACGCAATTGGCTGGAGGAGGGCTCCGTAAATTTCTTTCCAAGCCTTTCACAGGCCCAAAAGGGCAATGAGGGTTGCGGGTTGGGGGTCTGTTTCTTCGAGAATCCTAGTGTTCCATACTGAAATTCGGACCCGGAGGCTGCCCTGAGCCACCAAAAACTCAAACGTGTCAGGGGCACAGAATTATAACGTGGCATGAGTACAAAGGAGAGATCGTCCTTACAAGCATTCCTTGTCGCTGTAGCTGCAACCTTGTCATGGAAGGTCTCCACACAGAACCCAACCCTCAAAGCTCCAAAAATGATGCTTGTCCGTTTCCTGGAGCCGCCAAACTGCCTTGTTTCCACAAGCCAGGACTGTGCGGAGCCACGCGCCAAGGCAAACACCATCTTGGCCCCTGACTGCGTGACCCAGCCCGATAGCAAAACTCAGCCTGCAGCAAAAGCGGATCCAGCCCTATCAACATTCTCGTGAGTTAAGTAGGGGCCACCTACGGAAAAAGGATACAGTGAGCGGTACTTGGAAAGCGCAAGTTCCTCGAGCATGGCAAGATCCTTGCCCTCCCTTGGTTGCTACCGCTAAAAAGCAGCGCCTGCAGATTGCCAAGATTGAACAAGCACATGCAAGCTGGCCAAACCATTGCTCTAAACCCAGTACGGGTGCAGATAGTGGGCCCAAGAAAGATTGGCTTCAAAAGAGACGTGTGCGAACTCCGGCTCTGCGAAAAGCACATGTGTGGTTCCTCAAAGCTTTAGAGCTGAGCCCCTGGCATCATCGGAATAGGAAAGTTCTCTGGCTTCGAGACGCCCAGCAACAGCAAAAACCTCGGCAGCAAAAGCCTCGCCCAATTTCCAAGGCTTGGGCCGAAGCCTCACCCCCCGACACAAAGCTGAGCCCCAGCTGAATCATCCCCCCCAGGACGGCGGCAAGCTCTGCCTGGCCATGCCCAAAGGTTGCAACATGGCACTACGCCACATGAGATGACACTGCATGCAAACCGATACGAACCAATGCTGTCGATAAAAACTTATCCAGTGGGAGTACAAGAGAAGCCAAGGCATGAATGTAGCGCTCGCCGTAATGCACTGGAGCTCATGGCATGCTACAAGACTGTTGTGCAATGCAGGAAGACGCTCACCCACTTTGGTAAGCGGGAGGCGCCTGCATCACCCCACCCCACCCCACCCTTTTCCCCCGCGCCACGCAGGAGGAAAACTCGGCACCAGCTGCTGTGCGTAGCAGCCTCACAAGCCAGAGGAGGGTGCAAACCGCCATGTGCTTTGGGCGACCAGTGCGTCATACAGGGCTGCACCAGCAAGTAGCAGCTTCAGCCTACCGAGTTTGCTCATGGCGCAACGTGTCCTTGGCAGCGGTCGGATCAAGCCATGGTCAGAACTCGTTTTTCCAGGACATGGGAAAATCTGAGTCCCGGGTTTGTGTGGGATTTTTGTTTGGCAAATGGATCATAGACTTATAATTCTCACCGGACCTATAGCCCTCTGGCGCCCCGGGCAGCTGCCCTGCTACGGCAGGAGGCAGCACAGCGGCTGCGGCCAAAAAGCGCCTGACATCCCCAGCGACTCTGCAAATCAAACAACTGCAAACATGAAGCATGGAAAAAACATGAGATTTGAAACACAAAAGTTCCGCTGATGGACTCTGATTGATTGTCACCCTCCGTCCCGCAAGCTCATCGCAATTAGACAGCCTGCTCGCAGTCGAATGCAATCGATCAGATCAGCAATGACTGGCCCCATGCGAATTCCAACCCAAAGCCAAACGAAAAGCAGCACGGACAGAAGGAGTCAGTCGGAGGAAGAGTTTGAGGGCTTTTAAGGGTTATGGCAATCTGGTCTTCACCTGAAGGGAGAAAAGGTTCCTCGTAAGCGACCTTTCTGTAGGAAGCTAAAGTCTGCTTCTGAGGGAAGCAAACCGGGGATCAATTCTCAGTCGGGACGCCCATTCTGCAACAACATGCCGGCAGTTCCCCATGGGCTCTTGTGACCTTGCCTCGGAGTAGCTCATTGCCACTTGGCAGTTGTCGAGTGACCCTCGCATACAGCAACAATCATCGGTCGGTGTGACATCAAATGTGTTCATGCATCCAGAAATGCCCCTGTTTTTCTTGGTGAGCCTTCACCAAACTGTCTTTTTGAGTTTCCCCATGGCTCTCACTTCCCCAAATCCGCCGTGTTCGGCTTGGATTCAGTCACCCCTGAGAGGCAGGCGCCGAGCTTCATCGGCAAAGAGATGGCCCAGGATCCTGAAGCGACGGAGGAACCGCCTGAGGCGATTTCTATTTTTCCCCAGACATCGCTACCAATGGAAACTCACC